TGCAGTGAGCCGAGATCGCGCCATTGCACTCCAGCCTGGGCAACAAGAGCGAAACTCCATCTCAAAAAAAAAAACAACAACAACAAAGATGAAAGCAGGCAAATGGAGGCGAAGGGAAGAGCTCTCCAGGCAGGGGGAATAGCCAGGCCAAGCCCACTGGTGTGACAGAACACAGAGCCCATGGAGAAAGCCCAGAGTATCCCTGGGAGGAAAGGAGTCATGCCTGGAAAGGGCAACAGGGATGCACAGGTGACAGCTGTGAGGGGCACAGGTGACGGTTGTGAGGCCTGCAGGCACAGAGGTGGACCAGGTCTGGGCTCTGCGTTTATTTATTTACAAGGTACCTTGGCCCTGAGCACCCCCCCATCTCAGCCCAGAAGCTGCCTTCTGGGACAGCCTCGGCCTCGGCCTCCTCCCGTGGGGTGCCCTCCAGTAGAGCGGTGTCTTCCTCCAGGAAGTTGCCCAGCTCCGCCAGCTCTCGGCGGACAATGCTGGTGGCCCGGTGCAGCCGGCGCACACGCCTCATCAGGCACAGCAGCAGGGTCCGACTGCGCTCCTGGCGCGCGCTCCAGGCGTTGTGCAACTTGCGGTAGCAGTTGTGGTGAACATGCTTGGTTGGGTCCAGGGTGGCCCCACAGCCCAGGGGGCAGCGCTGCTGGGCCCTTTGCTGGCAATGCTTCCGGTGCTCAGCCAGGGCCCCACGCGGGACCCTTGAGGTGCAGCCTTCGTTAGGGCAGGCCATTGGCTCGAAGGGGCATGAATCCTGGTGCCCTTTTCGATGGGCCAGGGGGCATGTCACCATGCAGCCGGCATCGGCGTTCTTGCACTGAGGGTGAAGGAGAACACGTGTGAAGCCACCCAGGCAGGACACTCACAGAATCCCCCATCCGTGGCTTTCCACTCACCAGGAACCAGGGAACCGAGAGCCTCCCACACTTTTCTAACTCCAGTGAGGTGGTGGAGAGAGAACATGGGCCAAATGCATGGAAGTGGGAAGAAGGTAGACATTCCAGGGGAGGGGGTGCGGCCTGACGCTTGGGGAACTGGAAGGTCCACAACTGGGTTGGTCTGGCGAGTGGTATGGATGCCAGGCTTCCCCCCCTGCCCCTGACAGAGATGGAGTCTCATTTTGTTGCCCAGGCTGGAGTGCAATGGCATGATCTCGGCTCACTGCAGCCTCTCTGGTTCAAGCGATTCTTCTGCCTCAGACTCCCAAGTAGCTGGGCTTATAGGCGTGTGCCACCATGCCTGGCTAATTTTTGTATTGTGTGAGTAGAAACAGGGTTTCACCATATTGTCCAGGCTAGTCTTGAACTCGTGATCCACCTGCCTCAGCTTCCCAAAATGCTGGGATTACAGGCATGAGCCACCCATGCCCATCTCAGGTTTTCCTTTTTAACCTCAGTTTACCCATCTATAAAACTAGAGGGCTAGAGAGTAGTGGCCAGCACACCAGGCACTTCATCCTCTAAAAATCCTTTACAATCTACATTTTACAGCTGAGACCCCAGGGGATCGGAAAGGTTAGGTGACTTGCTTAAAGTCACACAGCAACTAAGCGATAGAGCCACGAGTCAAACTCAGCCATGTCTAATCACCCAAGTCTGTACTAATTTCTCTCTGAAGATGGGAGTTCTCCTTACTCCCTCTCCTGGCCCTGCCCCACCACTACGAGGGTGAGAAGGGTAGAGGGTCAAGGGAGTGGGTCCTTTGAGCTACCTTGACTTCCAGGCGGCTAATGGTTTTCCGGAGTTTATTCTCGTGGATGATCTTTCTCCTTTTCACCGGTTTCCTGCAGCACGGACAGGTCTTTTGTCTGGAAAGAGGCATGAGGGGGGGTGAGTGTTGGGAATGGGAAGGGAACCCTGGTCAGCCCTTCACTTGGTGACCCAGGTGGTCCCTTCATCAGCTGGAGGAGGCATCATGGCATACTACAGGGAGCTCTCAGCTATGAGGCTGGGGCAGGGGTCTGCAGACACCGAGAGAGGGGCACACATTTTAGTTTAGGGAGATTTGGTGGCTGAGTCTTCTGGCTGACTTTCCCCTCTGTTGTGGGCCACAGCAGTGCCCCATCTCCCTGCTGCCCTCCCAGCCCCGTGGGTACCCGGTGACACCTGGTTAGCCACTGGAGGATGCACTTTTTGCAGAAGATGTGGCTGCATGGCAACCTCGCTGGCCTCTTGAGAACCCCATGGCAGACGGTGCACAGGAAGTTGGAGTCAGGAGGGCTGGTGAAGAGGTTGAGATCATACCCGCCACTCTGCAAAGGTCAAGCTGGTGTCAGGACCTGGCTGGGAAAGTGATCCAGTTCCTGGTCCACATATCCAGCAAGAGAGCCCAGAAAACTTTGGGTGGGGAGGTGGGCCACAGGAGAACTTCAAGTAGAGGGGTTGGCTCAGCACCCACTTTGAGGGGGCAGCTGTGGGGGTTAGAGCCCCCATCCCAGGACTAATTCCTGGCTGGAGACAGTGGCTTTAGCCTGGAATTAGACCTAGCCAGAGCCTTCCAGGTTTCCTTGTAGCATATGGGGCCTGCAACTCATTGCCCACCCTTTCCGAGTGGAGTGGGGTCAATCCCTGGACAACTGGGCATGTTTCTGGAGTCTCAGGGCTGAAGGCAAGAGGGCCCCAGGCTCACCATGATCTGTGACTAGACAGCAGCGCCACAGGCCCCCAGGGCTCAGGAGCCTGTATTTAACAGTGGGTGTGGGCTGACATCACAATGGCATTGTCCAGCTCAAGCCAATCACAACACTGGTTCAGGGCCCAGAAAACCTGCACAGCCCAGCAACGATCACAGATAGCCAGGCATAGTGGCTCACACCTGTAATCCCAGCAGTTTAGGAGGCCAAGGTAGGAGGATCACTTGAGCCCAGGAGACCAGCCTGCGCAACAGTGAGACCCCCACCTCTTTAAAAAAAACAAGTCACAGGGCTGGGTGCAGTGGCTCACCCCTGTAATCCTAACACTTTGGGAGGCTGAGGTGGGTGGATCACTTGAGGTCAGGAGTTCGAAACCAGCTTGGCCAACATGATGAAACCCCATCTCTACTAAAAATACAAAAAAATTAGCCAGGCAAGGTAGCAGGCACTTGTAATTCTAGCTACTTGGGAGACTGAGGCAGAATTGCTTGAACCCAGGAGGCAGAGGTTGCAGTGAGCTGAGATCGTGCCACTGCACTCCAGCCTGGGTGACAGAGTGAGACTCTGTCTCAAAAACAGAAAAAAAGTCACAGGGAAGGAGTAGGGCAGCAGGGCAGCTCCTGACCTTGGACAGGTCAATGGAGCCCCCGGAGCTTGAAGGCAGCTGACAGCTGATCCTCAGAAGCACTGAGTCAGAACCAAGGTTCATGGAGCTATTTCCCCAAGGCCAAGGCTTCAGTGGGATCATAGGGATTGCTACCTTCTTCTCCTAGAGCTTAGGGGCTTTGGGCACTGACCCACTGGAGGTCTTCATTTAGGATCCAATACTCAGGTGGTAGCTCCAGGGCAACGAGAACTAAACTCTCGGGTGACCTGCTGCACCAGAGCAAGGGGCCCAGCCTCCCAAACCAGGTTTCTGACCCACTGCAGCCTCGCACCCTTGGAGTGTTGCGTTTATCTAGGCCTAGTTGGTCAAATCCTTTAGAATCTCACCTGGTCTCACAAAGCAGCCACTCAAGTCTGAGCTTCCCACATTTGCTAGCGCTGTTGGCCTCACCTAGCACCCCTTACGTAGGCCAGGGCACTTTACCTGCGAGTGTAGCATTTACCTGAGGTGTGCTTGGCCAGATGACTGTTCCCAATACGGCTCTGCCACTTAAGAAGTGTCCGACCAGGCCGGGTGCGGTGGCTCACGCCTCTAATCCCAGCACTTTGGGAGGCCGAGGCCGGTGGATCACAAGCTCAAGAGATCTTGACCATCCTGGTCAACATGGTGAAACCCTGTCTCTACTGAAAATACAAAAAATCAGCTGGGCATGGTGGTGCGTGCCTGTAATCTCAGCTACTCAGGAGGCTGAGGCAGGAGAATTGCCTGAACCCAGGAGGCGGAGGTTGCGGTGAGCCGAGATCGCGCCATTGCACTTCAGCCTGGGTAACAAGAGCGAAACTCCGTCTCAAAAAAAAAAAAAAAAAAAGTGTCCGACCTTAAGCGTCACCTGCCAACCTCCTCCATCCTATCCTTGTGTCCAAGTAGAGCTGAGATGGCATCTCGCTAGGGTTCTCCCCAACACAGCATGAAGAGATGCACTTGCCAGGCTGATAGGCGGGATGGGGCTCCAAGAACACCCACACGCAGTTAGACAAACAACTTTATTTGGAAGACGTTTCCAGCCGAGTCTCCCCGACCCCACAGTCCTGGCGACGTCGGCCTCAGGCGTGGGAGAACCAGTGTCCTGCAGAGAGAAGACAGGGCTAAGGGTCAGTGGCCAGGGCCAGACCTCGCGAGCGACGGCATCCGGGCGGAGGCCGCGGCGCCTGTCGGGGCCTGGGTTTCACCGCCGCACACAGGGCAGCGCGTGGTGAGCTGAGGCCCCCGGAGGATCTAGGCGCCGAATCTCACCCGCGGCCACGGCCAAAGCCCGGGGGTGATTTTCAACCAACGCCGTACTCCCCAACTACCAGGGAGACGCGAACAGCACACACAGCAGGACTTACCCAAGCTGCGAGACTCGCGGACCCGACACGCGAACGTTTACAGCCGCTTTTCCGGTGACGCAGATTTCCCGGGCCGCGGCTGGCGCCAGACGTGCAGGCGCACGCAGAGCGCGGCGGGGGTGGGGCACCACGGAGCCAATCACAGGCTGTCTTATGGGAGTTCGTCGCGCTCCCGTCTGGGGCGGGGCAGCGGAGATCGCGCGGGGCTTGGCTTGGTATAAAAGCTGCCTCCCAGCAGGCCTCGCTCTTCTTCTTCGATAAAACACGTGAGTGGTCAGATTTGCTGCTGTAGGCCTCGGCGTGGGCGGCGGGAATCCGTGGACATCGGATCCGGTCTAGTCTCCCGCGATTGCGCTCCTGGGCGGGAGCCCCCTTCTGGGTCTCGCGGGCGTCTGCTACACGACAGAGTTTCACTTAACTGGTTCTTGCTGTTTTCTCTTCAGCAAATGGCGGATGACGCCGGTGCAGCGGGGGGGCCCGGAGGCCCCGGGGGCCCTGGGATGGGGAACCGCGGTGGCTTCCGCGGAGGTTTCGGCAGTGGTATTCGGGGCCGGGGTCGCGGCCGTGGACGGGGCCGGGGCCGAGGCCGCGGAGCTCGCGGAGGCAAAGCCGAGGATAAGGAG